AGCAACGAAAGCGTTTGGAGCTGCTGTTAGGACTGGAGATGGTTTAGGAACAGCCCTGTGGCGTATGATGGGGGTCAGATGATACTCGCAGGACTTGGTGCTGTTCCTGAACATACTGCCCATCCCTTTAATTTGACAGCCGTTTCTCCCCACCAATCTCAAGTGAGGTCCTAAATCCTATATGGATCTTTCCTAAACCAAACAAGCCCCAATAGTGTACTTTGGTTTTGGGGGGAGGGTAGGGCTCTCACACGTTATTTTTCCAGACAGGGTTTCTCTGTGTAGCAGACTCCTGGTTGTCCTTGAACTCGTTCTGTAGACAGGACTGGGGGGTTCTCTATGTAATAGACCCCTGGGTGATCCTGGAACTCGCTTTGTAGACTGGGCTGGAGATTTTTCTGTGTAACAGACCCCTGGTTGTCCTGGAACTCGCTCAGTAGACGGGGCTGGCCTCGAACTCACAGAGCTCCGCCTGCCTCTGCCTCCTGTTAGCTCATACGTTTACTTTTTACCCAAAAACCTAAAGCAGCCTCTGGAATATGGGTGCTGCTTCCCACAGCAAGAGTCTAGCATTCCATACACCTTCCTCACCCAGAAAGGCTGGTTGGCCCTGATGGACCGGACACCTGCTTTAGGAAAGGTCTGTGTAAGACTCAAGAACTCCCCAAGTGTGTCTTCCCCAGGTACTAACCTAGCAACAGTTAGTGGTAGGAGCATAATAAATCAATGAGAACAGAAAAGGCAAGTTCTAGTCCCAGCTCAGTAACTGAGGTCACGAGGCAATGCCTGAGATAGGAAGGTTTAGTCATTTCTGATGGTGTTGAAGGAGAGCACAGCACACATGTGGAGGTCAGAGGGTAACTTGTGAGTCCGCTCTCTTCTTCCACCTCTATGTGGATTCCAGGGATCTGATTCAGGTTGTCAGCTTGTGTGGCAAGCACTTAACCCACTGAGCCATACGCTGCACTAACCCAGACAGGTCACAGCCTCTTCCCTGCCTGGTTTTACCATCTAGACTCCAGCCTTCATCTTGGTGCGTCCACACCTCAACATGGTCAACTGTTTATCTCCCACACTCTATCTAATTAGATGAAAACGGAAGACCTAACCAAGGATCCAGTGGAGAGGTGATCATGTTGAGAACAATCCAGATGAGGACAGTGCCTCCTAGGGGTCAGGGACCAATAGGAGAAAGGGCAAGGTCAATCCTACCATCCTCCTTCCCCAATCCGATGTTGGATGTCCTTCTGTGTATGTGTTGCTCTTATTGGTTAATGAATAAAGCTGCCCTGGCCTATGGCAGGGCAGAATATAGCCAGGCTGGAAAAGATCTAGAGAGTAGGCAGAGTCAAGGAGATGCCAAGAAGCAAGAGGTAGCAAAACCACAAGCCTCGTGGTAAAATATAAATAAATAGAAATGGGTTAAGATGTAAAGTTAGTTAATAAGAAGCCAGAGCTAACATGCTAAATAGCATTGTAATTAATAGAGTTTCTGTGTGATTATTCGGGTCTGGGCGGCTGGGAAACGAACAAGCAGTCTCTGCTTATAAAACTGGTCCTTGTTGGCGATGGTGGTGGCACAAGCCTTTAATCCGAGCACTCAGGAGGCAGAGGCAGGTGGATTGCTGTGAGTTTGAGGCCAGCCTGGTCTATAGGACAGGCACTAAAGTTACAGAGAAACCCTGTCTCAAAACAAAAATACTCTGGTCTTCAAGGAGGTGAGAAATGCCAGACTTTTAAGATCCCTCTGCCTCAACAGGCCCTAGGCCAAAACAGAAGGGGCCAGGTCAGGTGGCTGCTTGGTCATGGTGGCATTGAAATATGGGCACATACCTATGGTACTGTGAGATTGTACTGTTGGGATGAGCCAACTGCAACTACAAAGATCAATTCTTCACAAAAACCTAAAGAAAAAGCACTGGTGGTATTGAAGTTAAGAGCACCTCCTTCTCTTCTATAGGATTTTTGTTTGTTCCCAACACCCAGATCATGTAGATCACAGTGTCTTCAATGCCAGCACTCAGCAAGCAGAGGAAGGTGATCTCTAAGTTCTAGGTCAACTTGGTCCACAAAGCAAAACACTGTCTAAAACAAAAATCACTGATAGAAGATTTTGGGGGAGGGTGTCTGTGTTTGTTTTCTTTTAGAGGATAGAGGAGATTTAAGAATGTGAGTGGCCAAAGGCAGGCCCATAGTAGGGCCTACCTGTATTACAGCGGTTAAGAGCACTGACTGCTCTTCCTGAGGACCCAGGTTCGATTCCCAGCACCCATATGGCAGCTCACAAGTATCTGTAACTCTAGTTCCAGGGGACCCGGCACCCATGGTAAAATATCAAAACACTGTAGTCAGAGACTGCTCATTTGTTTCCTGGCCACCAAGACCCAAATAATCACACAGAAACTATACTAATTATAATACTGTTTGGCTTATTTTTACATCTTAAACCATTGCTATATAAATCTGTGTATCACCACGAGGAAACTGTCAAGTTTCCAGTGGGGCATCCCCCTGACTCTGCCTTCTCTCTATATCTTTCCCAACCTAGCTACATTCTGCCCTGCCATAGGCCAAAGTACCTTTTTTATTAACCAATGGTAATAAAACACATTTACAGCATACAGAGGGGAATTCCACATTAAAGCACATAGTTAAATTAGAAAAATTAAAAAGAAAAAAAACAAAAACAAAACAAAACAAAACAAAACAAAACAAAAAACAAACAAACGAGTCCTAGTATCAGGGCGCAGAAGCCCCAGCCTATATCTTTTTTTGGTGGGTAAGGACGGGGTTCAAGATAGGTTATTTTGAGGGGGGTTTCTCTGTAGCTTTGAAGCCTGTCCTAAAACTAGCTCTAGTAGACAAGGCTGGCCTCAAACTCAGAGGTCTGCCTGTCTCTGTCTCCCTTAGTGCTGGGATTAAAGGCGTGCACCACCACTGTCCGGCTAGAAACCCCTTATTTTTTTCTTAAGATTTATTTATTTATTATGTATACAGCGTTCTGCATGCCTGTATGCCAGAAGAGGGCATCAGATCTTATTAGAGGTACCTGGGAGGCACCATGTGGTTGCTAGGAATTGATCTCATGACCTCTGGAAGAATAACTAGTGCTCTTCACCTCTGAGCCATCTCTCCAGCTCTAGAAACCCCTTCTTAATTAAACTTAAGGGAGATATTCTAAAACAAAACATATTATTATGTGTTTTTTAAAAATATTTATTTATTATGTATACAATATTCTGTCTGTGTGTACACCTGCAGGTCAGAAGAGGGCACCAGACCTCATTACAGATGGTTGTGAGCCACCATGTGGTTGCTGGGAACTGAACTCAGGACCTTTGGAAGAGCAGGCAATGCTCTTAACCTCTGAGCCATCTCTCCAGCCCCTATTATGTGGTTTTTCTTACTATTATGTAAGATCTAAATGTTACTCGAATATTATACATGATAAAAAAAGCTGAACAGTTTCTCCTGCATCAAATAAAGTGACCAAAACACAACAGCATCACTGTGCCTGAACCACAGGATTCTTTTTGTTCTTTTTGTTTTTTAAATACTCTTTTAAGTAGAGGTGGGTCAATGAGAACAGAATTCTGGGAAGGAGGAAGCCCATTCCTCCCCAGTCCTGTCCAGACATCGAAGAAGCAAGATGTGGCCTGCCCTGCTGAATAAAGTACAGAGCCACATGGCTAACACAGATAAGAATAAAAAAATAAAATACTCTTTTAAGATTTATTTATTATGTATATAGTGCTTTGCCTGCACATATGTCTGCAGGCCAGAAGAGGGCACCAGATCTCATTATAGACGTTTGTGGTTGCTGGGAATTGAACTCAGGACCTTTGGAAGAACAGTCAGTGTTCTTAACCGCTGAGCCATCTCTCCAGTAGCAGGAGGATTCTTGATGAAGAGTATATGAACAAGGCAACAGTGGCTTCTGTACCCTATGTTACATGGATTCCCTTAGAGCAGTGATTCTTAACCTTCCTAATGCTTCCTAAATTCCCTTTAATACATACAATTCCTCACATTATAGTGACCCCCAATCAAAACTATTTTTATTGCTACTCCAATGGTCTTGGGTGAAAGGGTCATTTCACCCAAAGGGGTTGCAACCAAGAGGTTGAGAATCACTGCCTTAGAGGGAGGGAATACCACAGATAGGGGCTACCAGGATAACTGTTTTCTCTTGTCAAGGACCCAAAAATACCTTGCTGAACCTGTACTGGTCCCAATAGTCACCATGACCTAGGTGCCACTGTAGTAGAGTTGACCCACAGGCTAGTTGTGAAGTGACAGGGAACCAGGAAGCTGGCCTGAGCAGGATTTGACTAGCCCCAACAATGCTACTCAAAGTATATGCAGGCTACCAGGATGTGCTGAATAGGCCTGCTCATCTATCCTGTCTCACTGTCCACAGAGGTCCAGATCTCAGCTCTGAACCCATGAGCCCTTTTTTTTTTTCTTTTTTTTTATATTTATTTATTATGTATACAATATTCTGTCTGTGTGTATGCCTGACGGCCAGAAGAGGACGCCAGACCTCTTTACGGATGGTTGTGAGCCACCATGTGGTTGCTGGGAATTGAACTCAGGACCTTTGGAAGAGCAGGCAATGCTCTTAACCACTGAGCCATCTCTCCAGCCCCCCATGAGCCCTTTTCTTTTTTTTTTTTTGGTTTTCGAGACAGGGTTTCTCTGTGGCTTTGGAGCCTGTCCTGGAACTAGCTCTTGTAGACCAGGCTGGCCTTGAACTCACAGAGATCCGCCTGCCTCTGCCTCCCGAGTGCTGGGATTAAAGGTGTGCGCCACCATCGCATGGCCCATGAGCCCTATTCTTGGCTGTCCCTGTACTTAAATACAAACCGTAAGCTCTGATACACTATGACCCTAGCCTGAAGCCCTTCAGCTGTACACTGATGTCACCTCTCCCCTCCTGGTGCACTCCAGAAAACAGCCTTTCATCTCTAAGGGTAGATGGTTTCAGGAAGGCACGGAGCTTAATACAAAATCCAATCCTTTAATGAGAACTGGGACATACAGTCGCGTTTCCCCTGGAAGCTCAGCTGGCAGTGCACAGCTGCACACACTCCCACCACCCCAGGCGCGCACACTAGAAAACAAGCAGGTAACAGCCCATGTCTTACCCCAAGTGTCCTGAGAATTGTTTATTCAACCTCATAAAATTTCTCTAGAGCTGGTGGCCTGCACTCAGCACTGCACAGATAAAAATATAAGACTTTCAACACAGACCTAAATACCTTCACATTTTAAAAATCAGAATTCTCTATACAAGTGTTAAGCTAACAGAATTCAAATTCTGAGTTTTCATATATAGCTTTCACTTGTATTAAGCACATGTTTATTTACAACGCGAATAGAGATTAAGGGGCTATTAAGGCCATTTCCTCATTGTGAAACACTGGAAAGTATGTACACAAGTATAACCTAATATAGGCAAACATGTGAAAAATCATCTTTCTTGGCTTTACGTAATTGAGTATCGGTTTAGGAGTGAAGCGACAGCTCATCAATAGCACCAAGCCACGCCAATGGGGACGAGTGCCTCTGCTGTTTCATCCAGTTACCTGAAGATCTGCAGCTGAGGTGCACCTCCAACTGGGACAGGCGTGCAGCACTCCCCAGGCCAGCCTCAAGGGCACCTTGTTCGCCGTCCTATCAGTTAAATTCACCTCAAGGTCCAATTGAAAACACTTCCAAAAAACATCATGCTACAAGGCCACTGAAGCCAAGGTGTGCCCAACAGGGAGGGACCAGGGCAGCCACCAGGAAATCCATCTCACCTCCGGTGTCTGCTGTGTCCAGGGTGGTCCCGCTCATAGCGATGGCCTGTGCGCTCATAGGACCTTGAGCGCTCGCGTCTCTGATCTCTGTAGTAATGACTTTTCTTCTTGTATTTTCCAGAATTGTCTGTCCGGTCTCGTGACCGGCTTCGAGAACGAGAGGAGCTCCGGCTACGAGACTTGTGTGGCTTCTGGGTGAGGTACTTGCAGTCCTTTGCTTTCCGGGAGGCCCTCACTTCTGAGCCTTTGTAGGGAGCACCACGGTGCACCTGCCTTGGAGGAGAGTCACTGCGGCTCCGAGAACGACTCTGTGACTTGGACCCACCCGAGGTAGAGCCACTGTCACTTTTCCTGTGAAGAGAAAAACATGCTTGTGATCCTAGCCAAGCCCTACCTAACAAAGGAGGAGTTGGCAAAGGGGCTCATTTTGTTTTGTTTCAGGTTTTGAAACAGGCTTTCTCTGTGTACCCTGGCTATCTTGCCTTGCAGACCACTCTGTAGACCAAGCTGGCCTCAAACTCACCTATCTGACTGCCTCTTTCTCCCAACGGCTGGGATTAAAGGCATGTACCACTACCACTTGGCCACAAAGAATCTTAAATTCAGAGAAAGAAGAACCACATCAGGTTAGGAGCCCACGTCCCACTGGGTGAGATGGCACACTCCTGTAATGCCCGAACTTGGGAGGCAGCCTGCTCTATAGAGCAAGTTCCAGGACAGCTAGGGTTACACAGAAAAGAAACCCTGTTTCAAATAAAATAATAATAGTAATAGTAAAGAGCCAGTGCCTACATTATTGCAGGAGACATCTATATGTGCCCTCCTACTATCCTAAGAAAACACCAGGTCAGAGTCTCATGGGCAAGCCCCAGGCACACACCTTCTCTTCGGAGAAGCAGACCGGGACGGGGATCTTGAGTAGCTCTGTTCACGGCTCCTGCTCTGACTGCGACTCTCGTGCCCTTTGGGCAAGCTGCACACAGGAACAGAGCAGTTAGAGACCTGCAATATCTTTAGCCTCCACTGTCTACCTAGGCAGACACGAGCATCTTACCCATTCACAGGGCTGTCTGCCTTGGTTTTCTTTGGGCCCTCCACTTTTCGTTTGGCGTTCTTCACAGAGAGAGGGGAAGACTTGTTTCCTTTACCTTCTTTAGGGGATTCTACTGAACCTAACAAGAAATTAAAACCATAATCAGAAATTTCTTCAAATAAGAAAAAAATCCTATCTTGAAACACAAAAGTCAAAATAAATATACTAACAAAGCAAGACAAGACCATTTGTAACTAACTACCTACCCTGGAGCCCAGAATGAAAAAATACACACAAGACACAGTCAGGCCTTCTGTTCAGACCTATTTTGCCCAGGGACCATATTCTATGTTCTAACAATATAATCATACACTCTAAATTTAAAAATTTAGCTGGGGGGGGGGGGCTGGAGAGATGGCTCAGAGGTTAAAGAGCACTGGCTGCTCTTCCAGAGGTCCTGAGTTCAATTCCCAGCAACCACATGGTGGCTCACAACCATCTGTAAAGAGGTCTGGCGCCCTCTTCTGGCCTTCAGGCATACAGACAGAATATTGTATACAAAATAAATAAATATTAAAAAACAAAACAAAACAAAACAAAAAAAAATGCTCCCTTGTGAGGAAAAAACTCTCAACACTCACCCAGCTTGGAAGCAGGTGAGAACCCTGCAGCACTGTCCAGAACTGGAGCACTCCCTGGTAGCAGCCCCCTCGCTCGTGCCTTGGCCTCTTCCATGGCATGCTTTCTCTTCTCCACCTCACTTTCTAGGTGTGTCAAATCAACCTGAAAAAGGCAGCATCATCCATCCATCAGAACCAAATGCTTCTGGCCAAACACAAGCAATTAATCCATACAAAAACACAGAGGAACCTTTTTCCGTGTATAAAGCTGCAGGATTTTAAAGCAGATTTCTTGAATTTCTTCTTCAGTTGCTCCAAACAAAAGAAACCAGTGCGGACGATTGGGTAAAGGGATCTGTGAACACATAAGTAATCATGTCACTTGCTTTCCTTAAGAACTCCAAGGCCACGTATGGTGGTGCATACCTACATCTTTAATCCTACCACGCAGGAGCAGAGACTAGATCTCTGTGAGTTTGAAGACAGCCCTATCTCAAAAACAAAACAAAACAACAACAAAAAAAACACCACTACTACCACCCTCACCCAAACACTTCAAGGCCAACAAGATTCTTAGGGTAACACCTGAAACGGCCTGCCAGTTTAGCAAGAAACTCTGCTGCAAATGAACCTAGTTTGACAAACACATTAACATTTACCAGAGGCTGTAGAAAGGTCTAGAGTCTAGATTAAAACCCAGAGAGCCGCACACTTACCTCCAGTGTCCGGGCAGCGAGGTAGATACAGGCACAAGCAATGCTCTCAGGCTGGAACCGCACGAAGACATCTGTGCGAAGGCTGTCGTTCATGTAGTTCCTGAAAAGAAGACCAGAAAGACTGTAGTGCTATGGGCAACTGTGCCACCACCTGCCACCAAAGGTTGATATTCCTAAGGGTTCTACACTAGGGCTGAGCTGGGTACTCTGGGAATCTCCAGAGATACCTGGGGCATTCTGAATACATGAAAGAAAGAAATCACTGGGGGAAAAAAGCTGGCTGAATGTCAAACAATACGTGTTGCTATGAACGAGAACCGACTTTAACTTTACTTTTCCTTCTATGTTTTGCCTGCTATCATGCAAAGCACAATGGTTGGAAAGAAAATGCTACTTAGTAGTTAAAATGTAGTCGATTAAAGAAATCTAAATGCTCAAAATCCATAGTGCAGAGAAACATGCAAACTCAAATGAGCAGGCTGAGCATGAGCCTCAAAACTGCGAGACAAGCTGTCCTGTGTTCCTTTTCTTCAGGCAGCACTTGTGGCCCGGTCTTTCTCCAGATGACTGAGCCACAGCTCCAGTGAGGGAGTCCACTTGGAAAAGGGAAAGGCCCTTGGGTGCAGTTCAGATGCATGGGCTCAACACCCAAGGGAATCCTCTTCTCGGTCTTATCAAAGAACGTTTCCAAACTGTCCCATTTCAACAAGGAGTCTTAAAATGAACATTCATAAAAATCAGACAAAAGCAACAAAACACTAAAAGTGGCAACAAAGTACACTTAAAAATGCTATAATACTTTAGAAAATATATGTAAGTACAAAACTTCACATTTTTAGAAAAGTTAAAGTTCTTTAAAAGTTGGCTAACTTTTTACATTTTCTTTATATATATTCCTTTAAAATTTATAGATTATAACCAAATGGTATACTAGCTTTATCAACATTGCAAAAAACAATGAGAAAACATGTGAAGAGGTTATATTATACACTGCCCAACATATCCAATAATGGTACAGTATACCCTAACGCCAGGCTGTACCTCATGAGATTTAATTGCCCCACCCAGTACCTTTGTCCTAAAACTTTAGAGAAGGTAACATTCAAACCCATTCTGACATTTTAAACAATAAATTCTACAGATGTCTATGAGAGGCAGCTAGCCCTGGAAGCATTAACTCTACACATCAGAAGTCAGAAAGATAGCTGCACTGTCCATCTCTCAGGAGCCATTCTGTGGCTAAACAGCGTAAACATTAACAAATATCACAAATAACTTTATTACTGATAAGGAATTTTTAGTATTCAAATATATTAACCCATTATTTTAAGTTCTAAAAACAAGTGAAATCCTTTAAATGTGTATTTAAACTTAATGCTACATTAGAAATAAATTACAATAGTTTAACTTAAAGATGCATACCTTTACTGGAATAAATCCTACTTAAGCTGCTGAAAAGAGCAACTGTAGGACTTGGGAGATCCAGTAACAGCCTGAATTTCCACCATGCCAATTTGTCACTTCAGTTCTTACCGCTTTCTATACATATTTTTTAATATTATTTATTGTGTATACAGTGTTCTGTCTGCATATATGCCTGCAGGCCAGAAAAGGGCAGCAGATCACAATACAGATAGATGGTTGTGAGCCACCATGCAGTTGCTGAGAACTGAACTCAGGACCTCTGGAAGAGCAGTCAGTACTCTTAACCACTGAGCCATCTATGGCTCACATTTTTTTTTTTTAAAAAAAGAAAGGTATTGCATCTTTATTGTACAGGTACAGCAATTTTAAAAGAACAAAATTCAAGTCAAGACAATTATCAACTCTAATTGATACAATTACCAAGCACGACAGGATTAACAAGAAGCACAATCGTCAGAGAACCACAAGCAGCAGTCGGCCATGACTATACTATCAGGTACGCATACCACCAGTCTAGAGCCAGCCTTCGGTGGAGAGCCTGCACTGGATTGGCTGAAGACGGCCGCTGTCCCTGCACCAAAGCGCTTGGACAGCAGAGGAGAAGTCTTAGTCACTTACCCTCAGAGGCTACCCTTTGATTGAAAGAGTACAGAAAAGAAAAGTCAAAACAGGTTCTCTATAAAGCATGTCATAGCACCAGACAATTCAGTCAGCAATATGACCCCATAGACTTAATTCTGTGGGGAAAATACCCCAACACCTAACTGTTACTTCAGGCTTCATTCTAGCATATGTCTGCTAAAACCAACCCGGGACTGCATCAAAAGCCTTTCCCTTCCCTCAGTTCCCTGGAAACAATAGCACTGATTTATTTTGTGATTGGAGCGACCACCTAGAACATTTCTACACCCAGCTGGCAAACCCCAGAGGGAAGTGCACGGACTACTCTCATGGGGTGGGAGCATTGGAAATACAGGGGCAGGGGTGGATGGGCCACCTACCGTTAAGACTGTCCCTGTCATTTTGGGGGAGGCACTGAGACAATTCCAGACCATAACCAAGTCATGGGATGACAACCCACTGCCCAGGTGCCTCAAGTAATACATTCCTGAACTGCCCTTGCTGGTCTCATAAAACAAGGAAAATCAACTCACCATGCAGTCTGGACCAGGTGTTGGTTACGCTCACACTCTAACACCTGAAGGTACATAACGATTATCTGGAAGATATGGGTCAGGCAGTTATTAACAAAAACTCGGAGAGCACGGAACTCAGATCTTGGTGTCCATGCAGCAAAAGAACCTCAAGCTATACCCCAGGGAGCTCCTGGTGATGTCCGGCAGACAGCTCAACTTTTAGGATGTGCTTGCTACGTGCTCTTATAGTTGGGCAGAGTGCATATGTGAAGACCAATCTGCACCTGTGGCATGGAAGGCCTTGTTTTCCATGTGGCTCATTTTCATTCTTGCTGACAATACTTTCCACCAGAGAGAGTTGCCTGCACTACACATCCCTGTACCCCAGTAGCCAACTTGCACAAAATATGAAAATACATTAAACACATTAAGAAAAGCACTTAAAATATTTAGTTGAGAATTTATCAAGAATCTAATGTCAGAAACTCAAATAAGCAAGAGAAGATGACAAGGCCAGAGAAGTAAACATGAACTTTTGCTACCCAAGTGCCAAAATTACAGTGTGCTCTACTGCACTCAGCTAAAACTGAAGCTTTCAAGTTTCAGTTTAGCTACACTAGATAGATAAGACACCCATGGAACAATCTAATAAATTCACTTCTAGTCAGCACATATTATAGACTACTTGGTTCATTTTGAAATAAAAGAATTCAGAATTCTTCTGTAAAGCTATTTCTAAAGTAACTTTTTAAAAGAAGATTTATTATTACGTATACAGTATTCCATCCACATATCAGAAGGCATCAGATCTCATTACACATGGTTGTGAGCCACCATGTGGTTGCTGGGAATTGAACTCAAAACCTCTGGAAGAGCAGAGTGCTCTTAATCGCTGGAGCCATCTCTCCAGATCCTCCAAAAAGTTTGCTCTTAAGTGCTAAGGAGAAAGCTCAATCAGTAAAGTGCCTGCCTCATGATCACTAGAATCCATATACAAATGTTGGGTATGGAGCACACAGGAAGTCAGCTGAAGCATGGCTTAGGTGGCTGCAGGTGCCAAGCCAAACCCACCTTGTGAGGATGCTTCACATGGACACAGAAGCCCAGCTCCTTGAGAACGCGTCTCTCCGCCTTTATAATCTGGTTTTTTAAATTAACATACTCTTGATCCAGCACCAGAGGCACAGGTTTCCTGCAAAGACAAAGCATATGCTCTGTAGAAAATTCTTTCAGATTCCACCAAGCGGTAAGTGCTGCAGGACCGGAAGCCTACAAGCTCACTTCCTTCAGCCAAGTCGCAAAACAGTCCTTCAACCCCAATTCTAACCTATGCATTCTTTATTTTTCACCTGAAAGACCCCACGTATACTTTATTACTAACCTGCCCCTTGTCTCTACACATAGTTTTCTAGAATACCAACACACCTCCTGAATATGGTGGAGGATCTCAGGATCTTTGCACAAGGGCTATATAACATGTTGATTCAAGAAAAAAGATCAACCTTTCTGGCTGGATGGGAAATTACAGAACCAATAAAGCACAATAAAGTCGCCCCTCAGTATACGCTGGAGCTGGTTCCATGACTACTTTCACCTACTCTAATACCTATGAATGCTCAAGTTTCTTATACAAAATGGTGACATGTCCCCATAGCACTTACAGCCTCCACATGTTTCAAATCACTTGGGCACTTTATGATACCTAGTACAATATAAATGCTATACACATATAGTTCCGGTACTGTGTAAGGAATAGTGACAAGGAAGTTATATAAGTTCAGCACAGACACTGATTCCACTCCCTGCACCCAAGAGTTTCAATCCAAGGCTGGTTGAACTCTTGAGTGAGAAAGCTGCAGATACAGGTGACAGACTATTGAAAAAGATACCAGGTTGTAGCTGGGTGTGGTGATGTATGCCTTTGATCACAGAGACAGGTGGATCTCTGAGAGTTGAGATCAGCCAGGTCTACAGAGAAACCCTGTCTCAAAAACCCAAACCAAACCACAGAGACCAGGTTGTGTTTTAAAGGGGTTTCTGTTAAGCTGGGCATCGTAGCACATTTCCCTAACTCCAGCACGGTGGGGACAGAGACAGGCCACCTGAGAGAGGAAAGCCTGGTCTGGCCAAGCCAACTAAGGCTACACAGCAAGACTCTGGTTTAGAAAAGAGCAAAACAAAACAAAAACTAAAGGGCTTCTGTGAACAAGAACAAGAAGTCTGGGATATGGTCCATGACTGGGGACAAGTCAGCTGCCTCCCTCTACGTCTACCATGTGGGACTTGGGCATCAAATGCAGGTCCCAGGCTTGGCAGCAGCTCATTTACCCACCAAAGCATCTCATCAACCCTGCGTATATATTCTTTAAAATTTATACTGTTTGTGTGGTTTATGGGTTGTGCCTGTGGAGGACAAAGGACAACTTGTGGAAGTCAATTCTCTCCTACCCTTTTGATCCCAGAGCTGAATGCAAGACAAGAACCTACTGAGCCATCTCACCACTGCTTTGGGTTTTACCTGTTTTTGAGACAGGATCTTCTTATGTTGTGTGTTCTTCTGTGATAGGGTCTTACATATTCCAGGATGATTTAAATTCATTATGTAGTTGATGACTCCTGATCCTATTTCCAACTCTTACTCACCAGGATTTGTTCCAAGGGTGGGTTGGGTTTTGTTTGTTGTTTTGCTAGACAGGGTTTCTCTGTGTAGCCCAGGCTGTCTTGCAACCAGTTCTGCAGACCAGGCTGACCTCAAACTCAAGACATCCTCCTGCCTCTGCCTCCTGAGTGCCAGGATTAAAGGCATGCGCCACCATGCCAGCTCTCCATGGGTGGAGACAAGCATGCTCATGTATCTGAACATAAGGGGAGATGGGGAAGAACTGCTGAGAGAAGAACCCAGCCGCATCTACATTTCCAGGCCATTTAACTACACAGCAAGGTCAGGTATCAAAGAAGACCATCCCAAGGGGCATTCTGCTACAACTAAGGGAGGTTTCTGGCAAGGAGGCCGGGAATGCTGACAAACACAACACAATGCTGGGAGGGCTCTCTTAACGAAGAATCACTAGCTTAGACACTGTCAGCCCGAAGGGTGAGATCCACTGGTCTGGGGCTTGGTGATTCTGAGTAAAGAACCACAGAGCAGACAGGACAACAGGGTAGCATTCCAGCAGGGCTAGAACAGCCAGTTATCCTATCACCGTGCCTCCCCCCCCCCACATTGCCCCCACGGTATGGGGCACTTAGGAACAAACTACCGCGAATCCACGGGTTGGTATAACAGACAGACATTTGACAGCTCTGGAAAGGACTCACTTTTTCTCTCTGAGATGCCGAAGGCGATGGAATACATTGATGACATCCCTGATTCGTCTTGGAGCCTCTTCTATTTTGGAAGCCAGGTGAACACAAGCCATGGACACATGCTGAAACGTACATTGGGACACGGGTGTTTTTCCCCAACCTGAGGACCTTCCGGGGCGTTAAAAACTATTAGGAGCAAACAGAAGGTACAGAGACAGGCCTCCAGGGAGAACGGAATAAAGTTTGCAGGGCAGTATTCAGTTCACTAAGTAAGTAGTGGGCACAACAAGCCAGCTTTCCTCCCAATCCATTTCTCTGATAAAACAGAGAGAAGCCTACCTCCATGGAATGTTTCACGAAGGACTTCGTGTAAAAGAACCGCTGGAACAACACCTGCCCTGTAGCCATGGCCACCTAGGGATGGAGAAGATTCCATCACTTTTGAAGGCAGAACTCAACCCAGCTCAAGCGTCCAGTGTAGTTCCTTCCCCCAGGACAAATACCCACGACGGATCCCACTTCCCCAGAGAACTTCTGTCTCGCGGTGCGGTCCTGGGGTTTGTAAAAGGGCCTTGGCCCGAGGGCGTGGGGGAGGGGAAGCCCGGGCGCGGGCCGCACTCGGAGCAGGTCAGCGGCCAGGTCGGAGGCACGGACTCGGGATTACGTCAAGGCTGCGGTGCGGGTCGGGCTCCGACCTCGGGCCGGTCCCGGGACATGGGCCAAGCCGACAACAAAGGGCCGGCCGGCACTCTCGACCGCCGGCGGACGGTTACCCACCACGCTCGCGGCCGCGCCCTTACCTGCGGCAGGCGGAGCAGGATGCCGGCTGCCTGGATGAGCTCGCAGCCCACCACGCGGAGGCCGGTCTCCGTGTCGCTGTCGAGACCGCTCGACATGGACGGCGTGAAGCGCAGCTTGTCGTCGGGCAGCAGGCAGTTCTCCAGGGTGATGAGCACGCCCGAGTAGAGCCTGTCACCGATCAGCACCCCCTGCGACCCTGGGGTGGCTCCCCCCGAGCCGGAAGACCCGGCCGCCAACGCGGGGGCCGCCAGCACCGAAGCCCCGGCCGCCGCCGCCGCCATTTTGTGCCGCCGATTCTTTTTCGGGCCCTTCCCGGAGGGCGGCTCCTCGCGACAGCCCGGCCGTCCCGCCTCCACCCCCGCCCATTGGCTGTGCGTCAGCGCCGCTTCGTCCCCATTGGCCGCACGGCCTGCTCCTCTGTATCGCGTCAGCGCTGACGCCGGAAGTGGCCTCAGGTGGGGCTGCTCGTTACCCACTCGGCTCCGCGGCCTGGGCGGACTCGGAAGCGGTCGGTCCGGAAGAGATTCGGTGCTGCTGCCGCGGGAACCGGGGTTCTAGAAGGGAGTCTTTCCGTGGGGACCGGGGCAGGACGGCTTCGTCCCCACAGTTGCACGCGCTCAGCATCACAGCGCGGTTTAGCCCAGGGACTTTAGTTCTCAACCCTTCCTGCTGGCTTCTGCTCGGCTGCAGCTGCGGGGGGATCTGTCCGCATCAAAAGTGCAGGTTAAAGAACTGGAAAGATAGGCGTAGCTGTTAAGAGCACTGGCTGCGAGGAAGAGACTGATGTGGTGGAGGGGACAGTAAATGGTGTCACCCACACAAGTGCTGGAAAACGGTCAACTGGATCAGGAGCAACCGCACGCAGCCCCTCTCCATGCCAGGGCATCCCAGAACAGCAGCACCGAACCCTGCATACAGAGCCCTCTGACCCACCTAGTGACAGCAAAGCTACCAGATGACACCTCTGCATAGAAGGTCATGGTGACTGCCCCTAGGTAGTGATGTGTGGCCTTTGGGCTGGTGGAAATATCCTCTCCTCTGGTAGATGACTTGCTTCTGGCCCAGGCAGGGTAAAACACTGGGACTCTTCTTGCAGCATCGCACGTAGTAGAGAGCTTAAAAAATTAAAGGCCGTGCTTACAGCTCAAAATGAAGCCTTAAGCTGCAGAGCGTTGTGAAGTGATTAGTTTCCCTTTCAACAAACCTCATGGAGGCTCTGAAATACATCTCTCCTGACAGGCCGTCCTCTCTACGACCTAGGGGCAGCATACCCCATTAGTGCCATGGAGCTGACAGGGTCTGTTGAGGTGCCTCTCACTCCCCTTGGAGTTTGTTTGCTTTTGTTTTATTGAAGATAACCAAGCCGCTGGAGAGTGGGTGCTAGGGCCCTGGAGGCACTCTTGGGCAACTCAGTCACTCTGTCCGCTTCACCTCGGAAGCAGCTTGCCTGACAACTGATTAGATTGTTCTAGTCAGGTGTGGAAGATGTGCCCTACCCTGCTGGACCAAAGTTATTGGTCATGTGGGACAAATTCATTAGGTCCCTTTCCCAAGCATGTCTATCATCAGCTGTAAGGACTACTGAGAGATTGTCAGACAAACCGGGCTGCCTGGAAAAGACTCCCCAGCTTGTTGAACTGTAAGCTGTGCAGTGCACCCCAGTCTTCATGAGTCACCCTCATGTCATGGTGGGGTTTGGTGACAGAGCTGTGAGTCATTTCTGCTCCCATACGGAACCCAGTAAACTCACTGGCTCACCACTGGACTTTAGTAGTGTCTTCAATTTGGTCCTACCATACTGTCCCCACAAAGCAGACTAAAAAGTGGCCTGATAAGATTTTACTATCACAGAGAACAAAGTAAATCACGGTCAGGGTCTCCTGGTAAAATCAAACGTAGACCAAGTCATGGGAGGCAAACAGTGGATCCTACAATGATGGTAAAGGGA